CCCCCTATAGTTCGCTGCGATCGCGAATAATATTTATCCCGGCTGAAACTTGAATTCATTTCCTAGCAAATTATGAGTTACTGATTTTTTGCTGTGATATTTAGTCAATCTTTGGCGCAACTCCAAAAAAAATAAAGAAAAAAAGTTCTCAGTTTTTATAATTGGGTACTTGCACTTCAAGAAGAAGACCATGTATACTAAAGCATGTAATCAATGACGTCAGCACCTGCTGATAGTTTATAAGCGCAATGACTTGCTTAAGTGCTGCTTAATTTCTCCACATAAGTTACAATGTTCATTAACGTGAAGTTAATTATATACAGTGCCGTATCACACATGGAATTTATTGAAATATAATTATTTATCATCTACGTATTTTACTTAACTTAGATTTTTTATTTTTTTGTGTATTTCAATGTAACCATCATATATTTTTGTTATGTGTACCTCGAAACTTCGATGCATAACTACTTTGTTTATGTTCTACATGGCTTCTTGTTTGTCTTTATGTTGAGCAAGAAATATATAGTGAAAGAATTGAAATATTTGTGAAAAAATTCTTTTTGTAAGAATATAGAATGTACCATGTAAGAGAATTGCTGCTTGACGGGCTTGACTAACTTAAATAGAATGGGAAGAACAGTTGTAAAAGTAAACAAATTTCCCGTTTCTTAAACTAATCAGGATCGAGATACCCACACTACGTCACTTGCAAATATCCCATTGTATCGGAATGAGATATGTACTTTAGATACTTTATTTACGTCGTACTTGAGCTGCACAATGGGCTGCAGGCGACGGTCTGGGAAATATCCTAGAGGAGGATCCGAGGACATGCCACCGCAATATTGATCCTCTGCAGAGGAGATGGCATCCCTGCTTTGATTGTCAAAAAATACAAAATACTTACTGACCTCAAATAAAACTCAAAGGACTTCGAATCAAATAATTAAAACTCTATTAATACGTTTAATATAAAAGGAAGATATATTAACTAAACAGTTAAATTACAGCATCGCAGTTCCAAAAAAGAAAACAAAATCTCTTACTCAAAAACTATTATTTACATTCTAAACTTACCATGGCAACCGCAGAAACTCTTCTCGTTTCCATCTTCAAACTGATATATAATAAGTAAGTTATTTAACAAAAAATACGATGTGCATAAGCACATAATATTTCACATCATCCCACCTAAGTAAACAACATTAACAAAGTTAACTTACATAGCTTAACGATATCTTATGTTAAAATGACACTTTGCAAGAATTTTGAAATAAAATTTAAAGTTCTAAATCACTATGCAGTTCTTATAAATATAGTTTGTCAAGCCTTTTTAACAGCCTATCTACTCCCTGTAAAATAAACGGCACAGGTAAAAATGCATATCCAGCCCTTTGAATTGTCTTTCAAAATCACAGGACCAGCAAAGTCCACACCCATTACTTGGAAAACAGCATCTTGAACTCTCGCACCTGGTGGAGATGCATTTGGTGAGTCTACAGATTTGACAAAAAAACGTTTGCAGACTACACAAGATCTCGATACAGTTCTCTGTTACAGTTCTTCTACCACACAGCAGCCAAAATCTTTCTCTAAGAGAATTTAATGTACAGGAAACACCAGCATGCCCCCTTTTTCTAAGTTCAGACAGTACTAAATGTTTTACTATAGGGTGCTCTCCAGGTAAAGCAGCAGGTGTTCTAAACTCTTCAAAATCATCTCTCTTATATACAGTTGTTTTTTAATCTATAGATTCCTTTCTTATCAATAATTATATCTAGAGTTTTAAGGCTTTTATCTGAAACTCTTGTAAATGACTCCTGTTGTATCAAGTATACAGTGGTTTTCTCAGCTTCCTCTAATTCATTTACAGAAAGAGCTCCTTTTCTTCTTTCTTCATTTTTGCAATAAAAAAGGAATCTCGTCACCCACGCCATAGTATGTACAATTTTTTGGTTATTAGAAATATTAGAACTCAAAAATTTAATCACTTCAAAATTTATCATTGAGGTTGTGACACCTTTTCTTTTCTCCCAGTTCACTTCCTTCTCATTAACGACATCTTCAGACGAAGGCCACAATTCTTGAGGTAAGTGTAAATAAATGGGACCCTCCTACCATTGCAATCGCAGAAGCTGTTGCACTGAACATCCTCTACTTGGCGAATCAGCTGGGTTCATCGTCCCAGGAACATGTCTCCAGGTGTTAACTTCATTCTGCTCTCTGATTTCACACACTCGGTTATAAAGAAAAATTGCCAATTGTTCACTTCTTTTGATCCAGGCCAATTTACTTGCATCACAAAAGAAATATATGGAACACTTCTTGGATCCACTTAATCCAAAATACCTTGGAATATTAATTTTCTCAATTTACAGTACACCTTCAATCCATTTTAAAAATTCTCTTCTGATGTTTTCATCATCATCCTGATCATCCCAATTCAGTTTCAACGTGCAAATGCTCTGAAGAAGCAATTTTGGGATCAGTGTTACAGGACAGATTATACCCAAGGGGTCAAAAAAACTATGTGCAGTTGACAGGATGGTTCTCTTCGTTACTTTCTCAATGTCAAGCTCTTTAATGCAGTCTGTACTCATTTCAAGAGAATCATTTTTCTTATCCCAGATCATACCAAGAACATTTGTAGGTGGCTGTCAATTTTCCTCGGTTAAATCGGTGTATTCCCACCCTCTAAGATCGAATTTTCTACTTGCCATTATTTCAGTAGCAACTCTTTCAAACATATTCAATTCCTCTGTATCCTTGACACTCGTCACACGATTGTCCACATAAAAACCTTTCATCATTTCTCCATTCACCTTTCATTATTTCACATAAAAACCTTTCATTATTTCATTTTCTCCATTTTGTATAACATATTCAGGATAAGTAGATTTTTGTTCCCTTATTTCTTTCAAAACATTCCTCAGAAGGTATTTGATAGTTGAGGACAGCAAAAATGGGCGACAGGTAACTCCAAATACTACCCTGCAATGCCTGTAAATCTTCAAGCCTGTATCACTAAGCCATAAAAATCTTAAGTAATTCCTATCAGTTTCAGTAAGTCCGATTTGTAAGAAGGCTTTACGTATGTCTGAAACGACGCCAATTCTCTCAGTCCTAAACCGCATCAAAATGCTTGGTATCAATTCAATAAGATTTTCACCCTTCTCTAAGCAATCATTTAAACTTGGAAAACCTTTGGCCTTGGCTGAAGCATCAAATACGGGTCTAATTTTGGTGGTGCTATTCGGTTTTATAACTGCACGATGAGGTAGGTAGTGTACATTTTCCTCCCAATTATCCTTTACTTCTTCTATTATTCCCTCCTCCACCCATTCCTTAGAAACTTGATCATACTCTTTATAAATCGACTGATTGACAGTCGAATTTAAGTTTCTATAAGCCAGGTCATAGTTGGTTGGCAATGGAGGATGATCTTCCAGCCAAGGCATGCTAACCGCAAAACGGTTTTCCACATCCAGTCTGATTGTTTCCGAAAAGTACTCCTGTGTAGCTCTTTGCAACTCTGCCTGCACTTTCTTAGCAGATGGATCAGTGATTCCCAAGAGATCCAATGATCACAGTTGATTCACAGATGATTCAGTTGAAAGCAATGAAAGAGAAGAATTTGTCGTCACAGTAGCATCATTTATAGGTATCTTCCCCATAAGAGTCCACCCTAGATGTGACTCAATGGCAACAGAACCTTCAATCAAACATTTTACATTGCCTGTGAAAAGCTTGCCGGCCACATCAGCTCCAAGTAATAATTTGACGTCATTAGATACTCCTAGAGAACTATACTCGGTATCATTCACACATATTCCATATTCATTCAACTCCTTCATCCACGGACCATAGGGGATGAGTTTGACATAATCACAAATCACTGGTTGATCTAAACAAAGTACTTTGCAAAAAAATTTGTTATCAATACTCGCTAAAGTAACTTTATATTGAGAATCACACTTTTCACCTGATGATACACCTCCAAACAATTGTTGCACTAACTTAATTTCTCCACATTTCTCTATACCCAAATATTTGACTACGTCTCTCGTAATATATGTTCGCTCAGAGTCTGTATCAATAATAGCTCTCACAAGTTTGTCTTTATTTCCATTTCTTATGCGCAGGACTAAAGTCTGTAATAAAATTTCAGAATGAAGAGACTGGCTAGTTTAGACGTTATCGCCAACGACACTTTCGGTTGCTTTACTCTCTGGGTTTTGAACTTCATTACAGGCCGCAACTCCTCTGCAAAGAAGTATGTTGTGCTTTTTACCACAATTAAAGCATGGTTTCCGTCTGCAATTTATTTCTCTGTGGCCTGGTCGTAAGCATAAGAAATAACAACGTGATCTTGCAACAGCAGCTTCGCTATCATTTAAACTCACATTTTTTGCATATTCACATTCCCAAGAATTGTGTTGATTTGAATAAAAAAGACACTTTCTCTTTTCTTGTGGTGAAGTAAGCAATTCAGAAGTAGAAGGTACTAGGGAAGATTTAGCAAATTTTTGCTTCAACTGGAATCTACCATTCGTAGGAATTATTCGCTTCTCACTATCATCTGTACCTCTCACTAAGGATTGATATGCCATGTTCACTCTCTCTTCAGCCTGTACTTCTCCCTCTAAGAACTCTAGCAAAGTATCCAAGTCAGTCTTGGTAGTTGGTTCAGCTCCTTCAACATTTGGAACAACATGAACAACTGACCGCTTATTCATAGTCCGATATCTTTCCCACGCCTTGAGCGTTTCCTCTGGAATTGACGACTCGACTAGAGGAAACAACATTGCAGCATATTTTTCTCTAGTTACTCCTCACACTTCTAATGATCGAAGTTTTGATTCAAGTTGGTCATAAAGTTTCCGCAGAGATTTCTCAGATTTGCTTTGTTTATGTAATACTAAAGATAATAACTCTCTCACATACAATTGAATCAACAATTCATCCATTCCATACCGAGTTTTAAGTTGATTAATTGCAGTTTTATAACTCTTTCCACTCGGAGAAAAACTCTTTAAAAGTTCATCAGCAGGTGATCCTGTTAATATGGATTGCGATAAATAAATAAATTTATCATGGCCGCCAATATTCGGATCTTTGTCAATTTTCTCAAATTGGCACCAAAATCTGAGCCAGTTTTTCAAATTTCCATCAAAGACTGGAAGCTTAATCTTTGGTTACTGCAAATTTGTCGGACCAACAACTAAATGGTTAGTAACGGACATTATCGAAAACTCTAATTCTATCAATATACGCTTCGGAATCATCTATTTCTTTATCAATTTCGTTTTTATCTCGAACTTCCGAAAACAATTCAATTCTTACATTTTCTTCAGATACAAGTAATTGCTTACCTTTTTCTGATATGATTCTTAATTTCAACAATTTCTCTTCATCAATCATTTCAGTCTCAAATTTTGCAAAATCATTGCATGACTGTGTAAACAATCTACGATGCTGTGTTCTCACTTGTTTCAATACTTCCATTTTCACTCAGATTCAGTAATAGTCGTTTTCTAAAATCTCAACAGAAATTCAAAGTCCTGTCGCTGACGCCATATGTCAAAAAATACAAAATACTTACTGACCTCAAATAAAACTCAAAGGACTTCGAATCAAATAATTAAAACTCTACTATTACGTTTAATTTAAAAGGAAGAATTATTAACTAAACAATTAAATTACAGCATCGCAGTTCCAAAAAAGAAAACAAAATCTCTTACTCAAAAAGTATTATTTACATTCTAAACTTACCATGGTAACCACAAAAACTCTTCTCGTTTCCATCTTCAAACTGATATATAATAAGTAAGTTATTTAACAAAAAATACGATGCGCATAAGCACAAAATATTTCACATTGATAGCCCGACAACTTGCACGTGAAGTCAAGCACTTTACGGTCGAACAGTTTAGCGAGGACCGATATCGTGCACTCTCGGTCCCTACACAGACTGATCAAGACTACCCGCTTACGAAACGCTGCCAGTGATGCTTGACTTCGGTGTTCTACTGGGTACCGTGTCATTACGATTAGTCCACTGCGGGACTGTATTGGAATGAAGGTTCAATGCAACCGTCTGTTGCTTAAACTAATCACCAAATACAAATTTTCTAAGACGAAGTCGTTTAAAGGTCCGCTCACTGGTTGGTCAATTTTTATCTAAACTATAGAAGCTGGGATGAAATACAAATTCGAATTTGGCGTTGAAAAACTCTAAAAATTGTGTGTTATTTAACGCTTCCATACACATTATAAGGATGTAGTTAAATCTAAATTCCAATAAATGAAAATAAGCTGACATGAATTATTTTCGCTTCTAAAAACATAAACGTTGGCACATTTTGGTATTCGCCAGAAGTCTGTTTACATCATTTGCGAAAGATATTTTTAGCTGCTTAGTAAGTATAATTGCATTTTAATTTTTAAATATATATAAACTGTATTAAATAATTTTATATTTAGCTTCTTTTAGATTCGATTTTGGTAGGTACTTTATTTACGTCACACTAGAGCTGCCCAATGGGCTGTTGGGGTCTGTTTGGGAAATATCCCCGAGGAGGATCCGAAGACATGACATTAAAATTTTTGTCGTCTGCAGAGGGAATGGTTCCCCTGGTTTGGTAGCCTGACGACCAACACACGAAGTCGAGCACTTTACGGTGGAACAGTTTGACAAGGTCTGATACAGCGCGAAAGCGCCAAAATAGCAGAGAGCGTGGTGCGAGCGCCTTCGTATAAAATCTGCCAACATATCAGCTCAGACTGCCAAAACTAAACGAGGTGCACACTTATGTTGAGGGGATGGGCACTCCATCAAAGAGATCCATTCTAAGGGACTGCCAACGGTCAAAGACCCACAATTGAGCAAAATCAGAACGACTCCCACCCATTTTGTCCCTACGAGTAGAAGTGACCAACCAAGCCTTTCCTCCAACCAAACGGAGCTAACCAGAAAGGAAATAATACTTACTACTAATTCCAAAATAACATTGTATTCTGTAGGGATGATGTCTCTCTTAAAGACACTTTGAACCGAGATCTAATTAATGGAATTTTATTTTTCTCGGGTTTCAATTTCTATTTAAGTTATCTTTCTATGTTGAGAAATAAAACTTAGAGCATGTTAAATTTTTCACCCAAGTTTTCTTTTCAATGTTCTTGACTAAAATATTTACTTTTATGAATTGTCGATATCATAGAAATTTTCTCCTCATTGCAAGATTTTCTTCTTCATTTTTTGTATACTTTCCTTCCTATACGAAAAAAATCAATGCATTAATAATTTTGTGCACAAATGTACAGGTACTATATGGATAAATACAGATACATACTTGAATATTTACTCCCAATGCAAGGGTAAATCTGCAAGGGTTTTAATACAATGCAAGGGTTTTAATACAATGCAAGGGTTTTCATACAATGCAAGGGTTTTAATACAATGTAAGGGTTTTAATACAATGCAAGGGTTTTAAAACAAAACATCTGAGCCATGATAACTAAGAAAAAAAAAGAAAGAAAAAAAAACAGAGCATTCGTTTCTTAATAAAATGACTTATATTCAAGTTCCAAATATGGCTGGTCGATTCAAATTCTTACTGACGTAAAATATTCCCTGTAATAAACTGAAAATAGGTTAGAATTATTATTATTCGGCTAACCATGGGTGGTTTTCCTTTTCAAGTAACAAAAATGCGGGTTAGTTCCATATTTTCTTTGAGAGCTAACAATGTCTAAATGCTTGAAATGAGAGTTCTCTTTTCTTGGTTAAATTTAAAATTACAAGCATTCAGTTTCAAACTTAAAATCGGGCCAGCTGCTCTACACCGATAATAAAATATAAAAATTAATTATTTATATTTGAAGATGTGCACAATAAATTTTCAGAATAAACAACTGATTCCCAATCCCAAGCATTAAAATGTATTCCTCAAAACTAGGAAAATTAAACAATCATAAATAACACTTGAAAAATAAACCACATCATAGATAGATACACATCTATTGAAAGTAAAGAACATTCCAAAAATAATCAGTTTTTTAAGAAGAAGATTGTTTTAACCAGTAAAGATCCTGAATGTGTGTGATCATTGAATTAAGAACAACAAGCAACCTCAAAATGCAAGAAAAATTCTCATTTGTTTCTATAACATTTAATAGTAATTGTTTTTCAACATGGAGGCCACTAATGATTAAGACTGATAATGATAAAGACAAATACTCCTAAAGAAAAATAATGATTAAGACCAATGATAATGATAATGAATAATGATAATGATAATGAATAATGATAATGAATAATGATAATGAATAATGATAATGAATAATGATGAAGACTCTCAACACAACTTAGGCTGAATGAGACTAAATCTTATTCAAATAACTCTTCTTTTGAAATATCGGTCCAGTATATATTTGACCTACCTTCCTATATGTTAGTATGCTATCGTTAATATTCATCATTCACTCATTCGATTAATATGCGTTAATTAATAACTAGCCGCTTTTGGTTACCCGTTCGGTAACCTTTAAAAATTATTATATTGCACAAAATATAACCATTAATGGTAACCAAGTTGAATGCGTAGTTAATGTTTTTTAAATATTCTTATTCTTCAACTCCTCCTCTATCCTGACACCTAAATTAGTCTTAAAACGTTAACCTAATTTATTCACCGGGTAGCTGTTGGCTGTTGCCGGCGCATATTTTCTTTCATTCCACGTTCAACTATTTTAATGACATGTCCGTGGTAGTGTCTAAGATCTTTATGCATTGATTTTTGGTAATAGTTTAAAATCATTGAATCACAAAAAAACGTGAAGATAGGTTAGGGACATTTCTGCATCTTGGTCAACAAAAGTGTTAAAATTATGTTCATCTCTGTCGTCAGATAAAGGTAAAAAAATAAATCCTATTGCTAAGTTACGTGATGTACTATTTCCTCACGCACGACATGCTCGAGCCATAAATTTAGTATTGCTTGATATCTATATGCTATTTCTTGAAAAAAGCAAGTTCCGTCACTAATAATGGCATGACAGTATGCAGTACCACGGCACTGTTTATCTTTAATATTTGTACAGTGATTTTAGAAAGGATTAAAAACAAACAAATCCATGTTAACTCCTAATAATTAACTGTTCAACACAAGACAACTAGAAAAATGAATATATATA